GGGAGACTGGATGTGGTTTCTCTCCTAATTTCCCCCAGATATAGGAGGAAGAGGGGGAAGATTTGGAATACTCCCTTCAACCCTTTCCACCCTGGTAAACTATGTAAACATCATCAAAAATAAAAAATGAAATTCAAAAACAAACAAACAAAAACAGGGCCATGATTGCAGAGAAGCAGGGTTAAGCCACTGCCTGCAATGCCAACGTCTCATGCAGACAACACTCCAAGATACAGGCTGTTTCACTTCTAACTCAGCTTCCTCTAACATGCCTGGAAAAGTGGTGGAGGATGGTCCAAGTATTTGGGCCCCTGAAGCCACAGAGGAGACCCAGACGAAGTTCCTGGCTTTGGCCTTGTGATGAGGTACAGCCAGTTAGCACCCACTTGTCAGGTTAGTTGACAGCATGGAAAGTGCAGAAATGGGGGTTCTGCCCCCACCCTTCCTATCTCCTCTCGCACCATTTAAGTTTACTGAATGTGCGAAACCAGCTCCAGAGGCTCCTCTCTTCCACCTCCCCATCATTCAAATTGACTGACAGCATGGAAATAGTTTCAGAGGCTCCTCCTACCTGGTCCCTCTGGCACTACTTTAGATTAATTAACTACAGGAAAACTTTGGGCTCCAGTAGCTCCCTTCCTGCCTCCTGCCACTTAGTTAATTGAATGTGGAAACTGTCCACACTGCTCTAAATCTGACTGGAGGATGAGGGCTTAAAAACCCCTGACTTGGCCCTGCTTCCCATCCAAATCCCTGCTTGTGGGTTGGAAAGATAATCAAGGACAGCCCAAGGCCTTGGAACCCTGTACCTGTGTACCTAGATGGGGGACCCCAGGGAAGCTCCTAGCTCCTGGCTTCGGATTCGCTCAGTTCTAGCAGTTGTAGCCACTTGGGGAGTGAATCAGCAGTTGGAAGATCTTCCTCTCTGTCTCTCCTCCTCTCTATATATCTGACTTCCCCATAAAAATAAAAAATCTTTAAAAAAAAAAAGCTTATTCCACTGAGCCCTGCTCAGTGGCTCCGGGAGTGCAACAGGAGCTGCTTCCAACAAGCTTGGCCAATAAAGACTCCTCCTAAACATAACACATTTGTGTCCAGTGTGATCTTTTTTGTACTTATCCCTTGTCATTGTGGGTTTTTGGGAAGTCAGCAAATGGAAGATCTCTCCCTCTGTCTTTCTAATAAATAAATAAATTTTAAAACAAACAAACAAAAACCAGTAGTGAAGACTCACTCTAAAATTATATGCAAGGGCCAGCACCATGGCACAGAGGGGAAAGCCTCTGCCTTTGGCATGAGCATACCACATGGGTACTGGTGTAAGTCTCAGTTGTCCTACTTCTGATCCAGCTTCCTACAATATGTGTCTGGGAAAGCAGCAGAAATGGTTCAAATCCTTGAGTCCCTGTACTTGTGGGAGTTCTAGAAGAAGCTCTTGGCTTCAACCCAGCCCAGCTCTGGTCATTGTGGTCCTTCGGTAACTTAAGAATCTACTAGCTGGGCCCGGCACAATAGCAGCTAAAGTTCTGGCCCTGTGTGTGCTGGGATTCCATATGGACGCTGATTCGTTTCCTGGCTGCTCCACTTCCCTTCCAGCTCCCTGCTTGTAGCCTGGGAAAGTAGTCAAGGATGGCCCAAAGCCTTGGGACCTTGGGCCTGTGTAGAAGACCTGGAAGAAGCTCCTGGCTTTGGATTAGCCCAGCACTAGCTGTTGTAGGCATTTAGGGAGTGAATCAGCGGATGAAAGAGCTTTCTGTCTCTCCTCTCTGTAGTTCTGACTTTCCAATAAAATAAATAAATCTTAAAAAAAAAAAAAAAAGAAAAGAATTTACTAGCTAAAATATTTTAATTCTGTAATACCTTGGCTTTGGTTGAAGTGGGATGTGGGGAGCTGAACACTGTTCCACTGAATTCCCTAGAAGCCCCTTGTCCCCAGTGCAGCTGGAAAACATAACAGAAGCGTCATGGACCCAAGTGCTAACTTAAGGAAATATGCTGTCTCATCAGTGATGCAGAATGACTTAGGGATTTGGAGGCTAACAGGCCATCTGATTTAGCAATCACTGAACATTTATCAGGGTGTTTTTTGTTTTCCACCAGTGTCTTGAAAGACAGGATAAGCTCACCATTTTGGCTCACCTGTTCTCCCTTAGAATCTATTTTATTAATATATGAGCATTACTGATGGGAAAAGTGTGGCATGAAACAGACCCAAGGATCACTGCCAAGGAGCAAAAACATCAAGTGTCCGATAAGTAGCAATCCTTTTCGCTCAGTGTGACTTTCACTGCCTCAAACATTACATCAGTGTTCATCCAGCTACGAAGCGTATTTCTGCAACAAAAACCACTGGTGTTTTATCTAACACAAGTCTGTTACGGGAGTGGGAGGAAGTGAAACAGCCTTTTGAAAGTAAAGGCCAAGGAAAGTCTCCTAAATTTTAATTTTTACTGTGAAACACCCTCGTCCTAGCTAATGATCATCTCCTTCTTTTTAAGTCCTCCACATACTATTTGCCTTCCATTAACTCCATCCAGCATCCAAGACATATTTCTAAGCCTGTATGTTAGGATAATACTCAATAGAGTGATGTCCATTTCTTACGGGAAAATACTTTCAAAATGTGTATGTTCTTTCCCAAAAAATGTGGTTTCAACTCTCGCTTACATATGAACATAAAACTGGGCCCAGCACAATGGCTCAACTGGATAATCCTCTCTTGCAAACACCGGATACCATATGGGGGCCTGTTCATGTCCCAACTGCTCTACTTCCCATCTTGCTTGTGGCCTGGGAAAGCAGCAGAGCATGGCCCAAGGCCTTGGCACCCTGCACCTGTGTGGGAGACCCAGAAGAAGCTCCTGGCTCCAAATCAACTCAGCTCCAGCCATCATGGCCACTTAGGGAGTGAACCAGCAGATGGAAGATCTTTCTCTGTCTCTCCTCTCTATAGATCTGCCTTTTCAATAAAAATAAATGTTTAAAAACTTAAAATATACATATATATAAAACTTTCGTATGTGAAGGCTGAAAGATTATTAGAAACCTATATCCTAGGGGGCTGGCTCTGTGGCATAGAAAGCTAAACCTCTGTTTCAGCGCCCATACAGGTACCTGTTCATGTCCTGGCTGCTCCACTTCTGATCCAGCTCCCTGTTTATGCCCCAAGAAAGCAGTGAAGGATGGCTTCCTTGGATCCCTGCACCCACACGGGAGAGCAGGAAGAACCTGGCTCCTCCTGGCTAACAACTGGCTCAGCTCAGGCTGCTGCATCCATTTTGGGAGTGAAACAGTAGATAGTAGACTTTTTACTCTCTGTCTCTCCTTCTCTCTGTGTAACCCTGCCTTTCAAATAAAAATTTTTAAGAAATCTATATTCTAGAACCCTCCCCAAGAACCAAAAGTGCTTCACGTCCAGCAAAAATCAAAACAAAGAAACCTCCTGAATGCGACACTAAACTTAAGGATGTAAAAATGTGTATCTTACGTACCTACAATTTGAAAAATAGGCAAACCATTTGTTAGTAAAAAGAATTGGCCTAAAGATGAAATAGACCTGGCAGTGATCTGAAGCGAAAAAATATGAAAGAACTCCAAACGCAAGTAAAAGAGCTGTCTTTTCCACTCGTGTCACTGTTAAGTTCTACACCTCTAGACAGTACGCCTTATTTCTTCTCACATAGGTACTGCTGCTCCGGTTCTTACCACAAGTGACCTCAAATAGAAAAGAATCATTAGCACAGCCGGGTCTCCCAGTGGGTCCAACAGCCAACGAGAAAAGTCAGCAGAGCTTCATACAACTTGCTCAGACCTGGTCAAAACTGAGAGGGCATGAATGTGGTTGGAATGTTACTACTGACCAAGCTAAGAGCCATGAATAAAAGGAATGGGTATAGAAGGGATGGAGGTCAAGAAGGCCTCCGGATGCTAAATCCTACGCATCTCCACTGGTGTTCATATTGAAGGGGGGGAGGGGGAACCTCCATCTAAGCGTTTTCTCATTTACAGCATAAATGATGTCCAAAGCTGGCAAGCTTATCTCACCCCACACCCCAAGTGAATGACATAAAACATTTTCCTCCAGAGGAAGCAACGAGAAAAATACATAAGCCTAAGGCTCTGAAAAATAATACAAGGGGAGGGAAAAATCCCAGCCAGGCTCGTGCCAGCACCTTGCCATACACTTTTCTCAGCCACCTCTACCCTGGGTGTGAAAATACCAACATCCGGCACCCACCCCCCACCCAGCGGTTGCGCGCGGCACCCTGACCATCTCAGAACCGTCACCTTGGAGCGGCTGATCAGCTATTTCTCCCCACCCCGATTCATGGCCCAGCGCGACATTCTCTCTATCCTTCTCCCAAGAAAGAAAGAAAAAAAAAAAAAAGAAAGAAAAAGAAAAAAAAAGGCAGCGAGCGTGCACAACCGCGAAAAGCCTCAGAGGCCTGGCAACCAGTCTCCAGTGTAGACCCACCGGGTCGGATCGGCCCTCGCCGGCGCTCGGTGGCCGGCTCCCTAAACCCCCAAATCTCCGCTCCCCCACCCCACCACCACCGCCACACACACACACACACACACATACACACACACACACCCAACCCCGCCAGGTCAAAGGAAGAAGCCAGGGCGCAGCGCGCGAGGCAGGCTTATCCTTCACGAAGCCGGCTCCCTCCCGGGCTCACGTCCCTGGGGAGGATGGAGATGCTGGGAGCAGCCCGGGGCGCCCGCCCGGAGCCCCCCCATGGAAAGGCCGGGCAGCCCGCGACACCCCGGCCGGCCTTGCCCCCCACCCGCCGCGCACTGCAGCGGTGCCCGGGCGGCCCCCACGCCGGCCTCGCCCGCCGCACACGCCACACACAAAAGCGCCGCGGCCGCCGCCTTCCCGCCCCCACAGCCCCGCGGAGCAATCAATGAGGCGGCCGGCGCCCGCGTCCCCGCTCCGGCTCGGCGCACACGCAAAGGCAGGGGCCGGGCCCAGCGGGGCCGGCCGTGCGCCTCACCATCGCTCCGTTTGATCTCCACGTAAATGCCGATCTGGATCTTGCCGAAGTTGGCCGTTGCCATCACCTCATCTGGAGCAGAGGCAGCGGGCCGAGGGAGGGGACCGGGAGGGCGGAAAAGGCGGGGAGGGGGCGGGGTAGGTGCGGGAGGGGGAGCGGTTGCCCGCGGCCGCGCCGGCCCTGGCGACAGCGTGGACGCGAGGAGCGGGGGGAGCCCCGCGACGAAGAGCGGCGGGCGCGGCCCGAGGCAGCCGGAGGCCCCGAGGCCTGCAGGTCGGCGGCAGGACGCGCGGGAGCGCGCGCCGGGGCGTCGGGGGTGAAGCGAGGGCCGGGGCCTGACGGGCGGCGCGGGGAGAGAGTGGGAGGGCCCGCGCGCGCCGGCCGGCAGCCGACGCTGAGGAGGCGGGGCGCCGCGCGCCTGCGCAGAGCGCGCCTCCGGCGTCCTCCTGGCCGGCGGCCTCCTCCCCGCCCGGGCCTCGCGGCGGCCCCGCCCAGCGCCGGGCACGGGCGGCGGCTCGGCCGGCCCTGCCCCCCGCCCCCCGACGAGCCGGCGTCCCGTTTGATTTCGGCGCGCGGCCTAGAAGACGCGGGAAGCGGCGGTCCGCTGCCTTGTGGGCCCCTGGTGTCTCGGAATGGATGCTGTTGGAATGGACGAAGGACCGCCGCCGGGGCCTCGTTGCTTTCCACAGCTAGCGCCGGGTCGGGGAGGGGGATTGCGTGTGCCAGGACCTGCCGTTGACATCATGAGCCCCCCGCCCTTGTCGTCTCTGAAGGGTGACCCCAACTCTCGCCTTTCAGAGGTGACTTGGCCCCGGTCAGTCCTCGCAGGACCACACCTGCACCAGGTGTCCCATCCCTTGAGGGGGCGTCCATCCCTAAGTGGCAAGGAAGGTCTGCCTCAGTGTGGCTCAGCATCCCTCCAGAAGGACGCCCTGCACTGGGGGAGGTCTTGGCTGCCCACTGTTGCATGCATCCGGTGCTGGTGTGCTGTTTGTGCTGCGGGGGTCAAGACCTGTTTGCTCCTGGCCTGGCTAGGCAACAGCTATGACTCAGGGACAGAGGGCAGCGATGAAGGGTTGACTAAGCAATGTGCCACTTGCGCAGTCACTGGACGAGTCCGACTACATCAGCGAGGTAGAGCAAGGACGTTGGAGACTGTTTATAAGCGCCAAATAAAAACATCCCAAGTTTGTGACTTCTGGACCTGAAGTCTTGGGTCATCTTATGGCGGCAACACACTTTTTTTCTCATGCTGCCTTCCAGTAAATAACAATAATAATAAATCAATCATTACTAACTAGATTTTGTCTGTGAGTGTGTGTGTGTGTGTGTGTGTACGTGCCTGTGTGTGCCCTTAGAGGTTTTTGGATGCCCCTAGAGTTTTCAACCTTATAAAAGTGCTCAAGTAGATCTAAAAGAAGTTGTTCGAAAAAAGTCAAGTAGAACCTGAAAAATAGTTACCGCTCCATCTGTAGTGCCACTATCTTAGAAGGAACAGGCTGTTGAATCCGTTCTAAAGGAGACAGAAAGGATAGACAATGTCTAGAGCAACTTCTGCTTTTCCATCCCGGAAATGGCATCACGCTTCATGACTTCCGTTTCGGAACCAGGCTTGACAAAGTCAGCTTTCTGCTGGCTGTTTTGTTTTTGTTTCATTCTCAGATGTCCCTGTCATTGAGAGACAAGGCATGATGATATCTTTAAAGAAAGCGAAGAAATCCGCTGTGTGGCTCTGCATTTTGGATTGTTCCGTGAAGTACTGGGTGTTGTGACAGTGGCTGACACATACCTTCACCTTGCTGGCTGTATGAGAAATCCTAACCCTTAATCCATGTACAAAGGCATTTGAAAAACACGTACTGTTCCCCAAAATGTGTGAGACATGGCACTTGTCAAACACGGGAGTCTTTCCTGTGCAAGTCTTACCCAAGAGGCTCATGACTTTTGGTGCACTCCAACATGTATGTGTAGTCACCAAGACTTGCATTATGAGTTTTGCATGCAGGTGGCTTTTTGAAGAGCAGTTATAGCTGCGTGCAGCAAGGCGATGTTTCCATCAGTACCAGGATCGGAGTTTCTGACGCTGACTTAGGAATGAACAAGAAATATTACCCTAACTCAAACTGCCACTATTAAATGCTGCAATAACTGATTACTGTGATAAAGGATCAAAATTCCATTTTCTGTTTCTTTCTTCCTTTTTTTTTTTATTTGTTTATTTCTTGGAAAGGCGGATCCACAGAGAGAAGGAAAAACAGAAAAATCTTCCATTCACTGACTCATTCCCCAAATGACTACAACAGCCAGAGCTGAGCCAATCTGAAGCCAGGAACCAGGAGCTTCTTCCGGGTCTCCCACATGGGTTCAGGGTCCAAAGGCTTTGGGCCGTTCTCCACTGCCTCCACAGGCCTAAAGCAGGGAGCTGGATGGGAAGTGGAGCAGCTGTGACATGACCCGGGAGGTCCATGTGGAATCCCAGTGCTTGCATGGGGAAGGATTTAGCCATTGATCCATCATGCCAGGCCCCAAATTACATATTTTGATTAATTTTTTGAAGTACTTTCATATAACTTTGCTGAGAACTACATTAATAAATATCTTCTATAACCTTACTAGGAACTGCTGTTCTAGCTAAAGATTGTATAGCAGACATTGTGGCATTCGATCAATGAGGTATTTTTTTAAGCAGCCTACATCTACAATTTCTGTCAATCATGGAAAATTTTTGTGACGATAGCTGAAGTCAAATATGAGTACTTTGATGTTTATAACAACTTACAGCAACAACATCCTATAAAAATAGCCCAGTACTCTACTATAATCCTCAAATGATTAATTAAAACTTTATGTAATATAAAATTAATCACACATTGGCAAGTTGGCGCTCACCCTTACAACCTCACATTAAGAGGATAAAAATAGCTTTACAGATCTGTTTGAATTCTTTCATCCAATCTATATTCTTTAATCCACCCTACGCTTAACCAACAAAAAGACCTCAAAGTGGCATATCAGGTAAAACCTCCACCTGTCACAATGGCATCCCATGTGGGCACCTGTTTGAGCTGGGCAGCTCCACCCCTGATCCAGCTCCAGGCTAATGCTCCTGAAAACGCAGCAGGAGGTGACTCAGGTATTTGGGTCCTGCACCCATTGATTTACACCTGAATGAAGCTTCTAGCCTCGGACTGGCCCAACCACAGCTGTTAAAACTACCTGGGGAGTGAGCCAGCAGTCAGAAGATTTCTTTGTGTCTTTTCATCTTTATCTTTTTTCTAAGATTTGTTATTTTTCTTGAAAAGTCAGATTTACAGAGAAGACACAGAGAGAAAGATCTTTCATTCATTGGTTTTCTCCCCAAGTGGTCACAACAGCTGGAGCTGAGCCAGTCAAGAGCCAGGAAGCTCCTCCAGGTCTCCCACGTGGGTGCAGGGTCCCAAGGCTTTGAGCAATCCTTGACTGCTTTCCCAGGCCACAAGCAGGGAGCTGGATGGGAAGCGGGGCTGCCGGGATTAGAACTGGTGCCCATATGGGATCCCAATGCATGCAAGGTGAGGACTTTAGGCATTAGGCCATTGCACCAGGCTCAATTTTGCCTTTCAAATAAATAAAATATAAATATAAAATCATCAACAACAAAACTGCATAAGAGAGACATAGAAGTTATCTCATCAAGAAATGGGAAAATGTTAGCCAAAGAGTACAGACTTTCTTATAAGATTACCAAGTTCTGGGAATCTACTATATGAGTGCTAACAAATACTTTAATTAACTTGATTGTGAAAATCATTATACAGTATATACAAATATATCAAATTATTATTGTGTATACCTTGAACATATACAATCTTTACTTGTAAATCAAATTTTTTTACAACTTTGAGAAAAAAAGAAAACTACAAGCTATAAGTAGTGGATTGCTCAACAGAAGAAAATCAGTAATACAAAGAAAAGATAATTTAAGTAGATTTTTAGAGTGGAATCAAATAAATGCTTGCGTATGCTCATTTGGGAGTCAAAACTATAAAGAAATGTAAAGAAGGTACTATTAGAAAAGTTAGGACCCAGTGCAGCAGCCCTATTGGCTAAAGTCCTCGCTTGCACACACCAGGATCCCACATAAGTGCAGGTTCGTATTCCCGGCAGTCCTGCTTCCCATCCAGCTCCCTGCGTGTGGCCTGGAAAAGCAGCCGGGAACAACCCAAAGCCTTGGGACCCTGCACCCATGTGGGAGACCCAAAAGAGGCTCTTGGCTCGTGGCTTTGGATTGGCTCAGCTTCAGCCATGCAGTCACTTGGGAAGTGAATCAGCAAATGGAAAATATTCCTTCCTCTCTGTCTCTTCTGCTCTCTGTCTATTTGACTTTCCAATAAAATAAATAAATAAATCATAAAAAATTTTTTTTAAACAGTCAGTTGATAATTTTGGAGAGGGAGAGAATTGGGTGCAGTAGAGGTACTTAGGTGGCAAAGTACGTTCCAATTTTACTGTATGTGCTGCTGAGGCGAGCACTGGAAGCCAAGTTCAACTTCTTGGTGTGAGGGAGGTTACAGGGGAGTTACCTTGTAATATTTAATTACTATTAGTGAAGTATTAATAAGTATAGTTTCAATAATAAAATAATATTGTAAGATTATAAGCAATAATTATGTAAATTATTAACATTAATATATTTTTTAAAATTTCCTGGTTTTCCTATTTTAATTTATAGTAAAGAACTTTTTTTTTTGAGAGGAAGAATTACACAGAGAAGGAGAAAGAGAGAGAGAGAGAGATCTTTCATCCACTGGTTCACTCTCCAAATGGCTGCAATGGCTAATGCGGAGTTGATCTGAAGTCAAGGGCCAGGAGCTCCTGCCAGGTTTCCCACATGTGTGCAAGGACCATTTGAGCCATCTTCTGCTGCCTTCCCATGCCATTGGTAGGGACCCGGATGGGAGGTAGAGCAGCCAGAATGCATTATGTAGCATAAGTAGAGGCTTAGCCTACTATGCACTATATTGAGGACTTTAAAAGAAGTTTTCAGGAAAGCAAAAATAAATGTAGGACCCTGTGTGATGATCTAGTGGCTAAATGCTTGCCGTGCAACCACCTGGATCCCATGTGGATGTGGTTCATGTCCTGGCTGCTCCAC